GACCAAGCAGGCAGTAAAAAGGAGATCCACCAGCCAGGGGGGAAGAGGGCTGTTGGTAATCAAGATGGAATGCTTATTTATAGCAAGTTGGTTGATCAAAATACATGATTAGCATGTATAGCTGTATGCATGTATATGTGTATGTGTTAGAATACATGAGAAAAGGTGGGACCTCACCTCAACTCGAAACAGGCAGGCCCTCAGACCAAGCAGGCAGTAGGAAGGCTGCGTAGCTTATAATAGTGGTTGGAGTACTGTGTATGATTTATGATTGACAGATTTCTGGATTGCTAAATTACAATAAATTTAAATGTTACTTCAAATCACAGCAGAAATTGCTTATGGTGATAGGTATATTATTCATGTCAAAATAAACATGCCCTCAACAAGACAGTCTTTGTGGCCAGCACCAATTCCAAAAATACAAGCTAAGCCTTCAATAATGCTTCAGTAAAGCCTTTGGTGCTAAGTCCAGACCCAACCAGGCAGGCATTTGGGATGAGAGAAGAGGGAGGGAACAGAAAGCCTCTTGATGGGAATGTTGCTCAATTGATGTGAATCTATGCGTGTGTGTTAGTATAAATCAAAAGTTGGGACCTCAACTCAAAGCAGGCAGGCCCTAAGACCATACAGTGTATATATATAGATAGTGTATAGATACATAGTGTATGATGTATAGATATTGTTTTAATAAACAATGCTGTATAGATACAGAGGTCCTGGGAAGGAAAATTCCCATTTTTTTTTTCCTTTTTTTTTCTTCTATTTTTCTACTAATTTAACGGTTATGTATGGAGGGCTTGTTCATTTGCTGAGACATGACCAGTAACCAGAAAGAAGGGTCTTCACTTGCCCCCCTGGGTGCTAAGACCCACCAGGATGTTTAATATTTGGCATAAACATAGAGAACAGAAGAATGGAGGGAATGCTTGCTTATAGCAATAGTCCCTTGAGTGTATGTATGAATGTATTCCATGAATGGAATTGGAGTGTACGTATGAATGAGTGTATGTATGACTATATGAATTTGAATGTATGGAAAGGTAGGACCTCATCTAGAAGCAGGCCCACCATGCAGTGCCTCCTGCCCTGACCTCTTGTACACCTTGTGTACCTTCCTTCACAACCAAAAACAAAGACACCAACCCAATTTACATGAAAGTTGAAGTAAACAATGCACCCCCCACCCTCAGGGCACAGCCAATTGTCAGGTGTCACTTACCAATGCGTAAAGGTGCCCGTTGTGGAGCACGTCGCAATATCCTCTTTCAAGTCCCATGTTGCAAAGTGGCTCTTATCCTGCACTCAAAAGCTGCACTGCACCTGACTTCAACAGCCTGCCCTCTTCTCGAATGCTGCATTTTCATTCCTGTACCCATCAGGGGCAACTCTCCTTGCTGGACTGAGTCCTTCTGCCTCTGGTGTGCTGCTGTCTCTCATCCACCTCAAACCTCTCTCATTGATACAGTGTACATGCACCCCGACCACTGCTCCCCCAATTTACAGGCTCTGAGTGGGGCAGGACACCCCCCCCTACCCCCGCTGCCCTCGTTTTAGAGTAAAAACACCCTCCAGACAGTCTCTAACACTGGCCTGGAAAAGATCATGAAAACCCTGTCAAGAAAGAGCACCAAAGAACTGCAAAAAAAGGTGGGACAAGGCTTGGCAGGGAGCAGCCCCTTTGGGTGCTTTTGCACAGTGGGTGCCTTGGCAAAACGCTTGTGGTGCCTTTGCAAAATGCTTGTGTGTAAGCCAGACTTGTGAGGGGGAATGCAGCCAGCCACCCCATGCACCTTTGCACGAGAGATTTCCAGCCGCCCCGTCCCCCCCTGCACCCCATGCAAGAAGCTCCCAGAAAAAGTGGCAGGCAGAACTGTGGGAAAAGACTTGGCAGGGGACTTTGCAAAGTACAACACCACAGTGATGGTGATGGTCTGAGCGAATGCTTAGGGTTTGTTTTTTTGCATCCCGCACCAACCAACCAACCCCCCACCCAGCACTGTGAGCAGGGATATTACCAGTCCTTCAAAATTAGGGAGCCGGATGCAGAAAGACGGGATGACACGAGGTTTTATTGTAAGGAGCACAATATTGTAAACTGTCGGTTATTTGGGCTTCTTTGCCTTTACCCCACCATCACCCTGAACCAGCCCTGGCTCCCTGAACCGCAGTGGTGGCTGCCTGGTCCTGCTGACAGTTGTATACCCCTCCCCTGACTCCACTGCATTTGGGGGAATAGGCTCAACTGTAATGTTCCTGGCTACCTCCTGGACGGAGGCAAGTCCAGCGGAGCTACTTCACCCTTTCTGGGGCAGTACCCACTTTTTAATGCTGTGCTTTGGCAACCACTGCAGGACATCAGTTATCAACTCATGTGTCCTGTGGAACCCCCAGATCTGTTCATCACAGGCCCCCTTGGAGCATTGCCTCTGTCCCCAGGCCTCTCTCTTCCAAGGCCTGCTTCACCCCTCTTCAGGCTATGACAGAGACAGGCAAAATACAGCCTGTGGGCCAGATCTGGCCTGCCAGGCTATTCTATGTGGCCTGCAGGGACCCTAAAAATTTTAGACGCAGCAGCCGAGCAGCAAAGCCCACCTGGCTCCACCCCACTCGCCACCCCCCCATCCCTAGCCCCCAACAGGAAGCCTCTGTGGCTTCTGCCCTGGAGACTCTGGGGCTGTTCCCTAGCTCCCTCTGTCTGAGTGGAAAGGCAGATAAGATTGGATGGAGGGAGGTGGGGGGAAACCATTGCAAGCCACGTGGTGCCTACCGGGCCAGGCTAGAGCCACAGTGGGAAGTGACAGTGGCACAGGGAGCGGTGATTGGGCTGCAGAAAGTGGCAGCAGCAAG